CCTCCATATTTAAGAATGAATCTCTTCTTATGGACTCAAACAAGTTTTGCTGAAAAACTGAATATGGAACAAGCAAAGCTTAATACTAAACAATATATATATTAGCTGTATAATACCAGTAGGCCAGCTCTAATAGTAATTTGGTATGGCTTCGTGGGCCAAATGTAATTAGGCTGCAGGTCAAATTTGGCCCGCGGGCCAGAGTTTGACACCTATGACTTAGAATATAACCTATTTTAACCCATTCTATAATGAGAGGATACCTTGTAGATGAACATTTCTAAAATATATAATTGCAGTGCAGATAAAACGTAATTACAGATTTTAAATGGGATTAAATATACACTACTGATTTTAGATGACCCAAATTTTTCCAGTTATTTATTGCAATTCAATTTGTTCAAGTCCAATGAATAGCTTGAAATGGTAAAAAAGGTAAAGGTTACCCAAAACTGAAAAATAATGCACATTTCAGAATTATACAAAAAGGCCCTTTTCAGGGAACACAAAATCGGTTAAAAATTTAAAGCTGTTCTGCAGCAATTAAAGTTGATCAACCCTTGAAAGCTGGTGATACTAAATCCTATTGGGGTTCCAACACTTCTGGATTACTTACAACCCCCTCTGTCTGCATAAAAGCAGACAAAAGCATACCCTTGTGAGCATCAGTTGAACAGTATTGTACTGCAGAAAGTAGTGTGTTGCTACAAAAATGGCGAGAAAAGGGGCAATTAACAATGTAAGAGAGACAGACCATCATAACATTTAAAAATGTTTGTCTTTCCTACAGAGAAATTGCAGAGAAAGTTAAGGTGTTAGTGAGTACAGCTTCCTTCACCATCAAAAGGCACTCAGAAACAAATCCAGGTAACGCCAGAACTACCACAGGAAAAAAGAACCAGATGGAAAGCTTGAAAACATGGAGTGACCAGCACAGTCTCCAGATTTAAACCTCATCAAGCTGGTTTGGGATGAACTGTACAGAAGAGTGAAAGCAAAGCAACCTACAAATTTTGACACTTCTTACAGGTTCATCATCTTCAATCTTGTCTTGATGCATGCTTGCACTGGCCACACCACCTTACAATTCTGTAATTGATTTCCTAGCTCTCTGTGAATGGTAATTATAGAATTTATCATTATGAACTGTCCAAAAGTACTGTTTATAAGGTTGGGGAAAACTTGGATGAGTGAGGCAAGGTTTCTCCCATTGAAAATGCTATGTCCAGATGAACAGAATCAACCTTTTAGGATTGTTACTTCTTGTTGTTTCCTCACTAAATTTGTAGTGTTTCTATGTATGGTGGAAGATGACCTCGGGGACATGTGGCTTTTAAAAAACAAAAAGCATAATGAGAGAAAATTTAGTTTAGTTGATAAGATCAAAGACTATTTTGAAACTTCTCTTTGTGGTTCGTAGCTCATGCCTTTTTAAAAAAAATAATTTGTACTGCGAACATGATAAAAATGAATTTATCAAAGAGATGTTCAAAATACAGAATTTACACTTTATTTCATTTAGCTGTTTGGGTGATAAAGAAAACCTAATTTTATAATTGAGCCATATGATTAAAGTGTGACTCACTTTATAGAAAACATCATTGCTTAATTCAGGTGGCGAAATCATGGTTGAGAAGGCAGAATGTCAATTGTCTAATGTCTAGCTACGCTTGCCGACCGCTTCCTTTAAGGTTCGCTGGTGAGCTCAAAAACAATTTACATTTGACATGGAAAAGATGCGGTCCTCTCGCATGGACTCGATAATATCACAGGAGGGCTAACCCTACACAACAGTGCTATATTGTCTAATTTAGTATGAAGCGTCGAAACAGAGCAATTCCTCTGTGTCATCCAACCTGCAAAGAAAACTCACCTTCAAAGGACAACTTCAAGTCAAAAATTTTCTTTATATCAAGGCATTTACAGCATGTACAGCCGTTTCTTCGTTAAATAAAACCGGAAGTGTAGTCTCCATAGCCCGGAAGTGACACTGCCTCCTTGAGGTGCTTGAAGACTGAAGCTGGAAAGACTGAAAAGAAAATCAAATTAGGAAAATTGCTTTTGGAATATTTTCTTGCTTCTATCAAACAAAACCTATTAATTCAGCTGATAAAAGAGCGTGAAGTCGTAATAAAGCAGTTAATTGCAAGTTGTAGAGTCAAGCTGCTCTTCATATGTTTGGCCACCAGATGGCACTAAATAGGACTGTGTTGAAAAGCTTCGAAAAAAGAAGAGCTTACAAGCTTCAATCCTTTAGAAATATTAATTTTGCCTCCATTAACAGTCAGCAACTGAGCCGGAGAATAAAAAGAAAAAGAAAAACTGCGCTTTAGTAGTTTTTCATTGGTGTCAGAGTCATCGGCTTACAGTTATGGTGTAAACTGTAGGGTGAGTGCAGTCGCTTGATCATGAAACCGGAAGTGAAAGTGTTCATCAAACCAAGTCACACGAGTGGTCTAGAAGGGGAATGAAATGTGCTTCACTCTACAGTAATGTAAAAGTTTGCTTGTAAATCACAAAGGAGATAACAAGAGCCTGAGGGGGAGAAAAATACAAAGGTGGGTGGCTTTTTTTCTGTTGTTTTGTCTGGTATGTGTATCATTATATGACGCGCATAGAGCTTTACTTGGGTTTACATAGTTTCGTTTTTAGAGGTTTAATTTGGATTTGTTCCCCTGTGATCAAACTTCGTTCTCTCACTGATGAATCTGTCGTCCCAGTCTCTTTGTTTGATATATGGTATATTTCAGATTACTGTCAGAGATACAAAATATTGTCGTATCTACACAATGGAAACCGCTCGGGACAAGAAAATAGAGTGATGCAAATTGGCCCATTTTGAGCCGATTTTTGAGTCGTGAGACCGATTTGGCGATCGGCCCGAGTTTGGCCTTCATCGTGCGTCGTGCATCGTGTAGTATACGTGGGGTAACGAGAAGCGATTAACACCTCACGACCAGCTCCCGATCATCAATCGCTTGGTCGTGAGGGTGTCACCGCAGTTTGCCACACTGTGCACGCGTAAACACAAATGTCAGCGAAAAAGACGGCGCAGCACGGCAGTGCAGCGTGTGATCTGGACACAGGCGATGGAGGCACAACTTGTAGAACTATGGCAAGCTCATCCGAGCCTTTTCGATGTGGCCCCACAAAATTATCACGATCACAACAACCGTGAAAATAGTTGGATCTACATCAGTCAGCTGTCTGATCAATGTTTTTCATTAGCAATTTAGCAAAGTTTATGGTGGTGGTGTGCGTGAAAGACAGAGAGGGAGAGCGAGCGACAGAATTTTTGTTATAACCTTCATTTTATGGAGGCACAGTGTGAGCACTCAGGTCGCATCAGAGCATCGGGCCGTATAGTGTGAGACCTGCATCGTGACCTACGAACCTCTAACCTCTGCGAGTCAATTGTACAGTTTGAGCAGGAGCTGAATCGCCCGACTGAAAAAAATCGCACAGTGTCTGCCCAGCATAAATAACATAGTGCAACAGGTTTACATTTACTGCACATAATATTTCAATTTATTCGTATACATATAATAATTTATAGCAAAACTCACCAAAACGTATTTCCCCACATTTGCTGTGTATTAAAAAATAAACTTATGTGCAAAATTAGATCTGTTGCCTCTCCGGCCTTAGGCTTTCCACCCAAATGCAGGTGTTCACCCAAAAGGCCTAGCATCTTTGCCTGACCCTCTACAATCACTTTGACACTGTTTAAGCAATTTATGTTATGTCTGCTACTGTTGGTGTAATCTAACACTATCTGTGGGCATTGCATATGCTCTGCACCAGTCCAACACAGTGTATCTTTGTAAACATCATCACAGTACTGCAAACTAACAACTTTAGCATGTACTGTCTAGTAATCAAATGCAACTTTTGAATAACACAAAGTTAGTGTAGTGGCTTTCTTAGTTTCTTCTTGGAGTTGTCTATTTTTCTTATATCTAAAATAAGACTCTTTATGGACAAGAGGCTGTTTTACGTGTCGGTTTGTGCAACAACGACGGTAAAACCATTGTTTTGCTCCGCCATCCGCTTGTTAATTTTTTTTACAGACTTTTCACAATAAAAACACCATATCCTTTTCAGGCTTTTCAAGATAAAACATTGAATAATTATAAATGGCGCTAACATTTCGGCCCCTAATTGTTACTGCTGAGGCATAACAATTACATATTAACACAATAAAGCGTGCACTCAGAATTTAACTGGCTTAACTAAACATATGAAACATAAATCATATGTGTTGAACATAAATCTGTTACACATGAGGCTGAGATTCAAACTGTTGCCTCCATTTCAAGCAATAAACATAACTTTTCCTTTTTCTTTTTTTTTAACTTTATAGCAATAAACATAACTTGTCAATAGGTCTTGGTGCAACTTCTTGGTGCACTGTTATCAACTATGAGAACAACATCTCCTGGTCTCAGATTTCTTCTAGTCACTAACCGCTTCTGTCTTTCTTGTAGAAGCGACAAATACTCTTTAGTCCAACGCTTCCAAAAAATGTCTGACAGGTACTGCACCTGTCTCCACCTTTTCTGGCATATAAGTCCTCTCCTTGAAACAATCCAGGTGGCAGTACTGGCTGCCCTTCAAGAAGAAGTAGATGATTGGGTGTAAGTGCGTCTAAATCATTGGGGTCATTAGACACTCTTGTTATTGGCCTGCCATTGACAATTGCCTCAAATTCATATAGTAATGCCCGCAAGCGTTCATCATCCAGAGGTTGCTGCTTTAGGATCTGGTTAAGAATTCTCCTAACTGAGCGTATTTGCCTCTCCCAGATTCCTCCAAAATGTGACCCTGCTGGGGGGTTAAATATCCAGGTGATGCATTTTTGCATGAGCATTTCTGAGATTTTTGAATGATTCCATCTCTTGATTGCTTCATGAATTTCCTTTTCTGCACCCACAAGGTTAGTGCCATTGTCTGATCTCATGACAAACACTTGACCTTGTCTAACAATAAACCTTCTGAATGCATTTATGCAAGAATCAGTCTCAAGTGAGTGGGCAACTTCTGTGTGTATTGCTCTAACAGTAAGACATGCTTAAAACCCCTGGAGGGTCCTAGAAAAATGCATACACTATTGGGCTTAGAGCCACAAATCGACCACGCCCAAAAAAGTGCTATAAAAAATTTCTATATTAATATTTTATTCCACTTTAAATTAGCCAATCTTTTAGACCTACTTCTCCTTGAAATATTCATGTCAAGTTTTAATTACATTTCGCGGATTTTAACCCTTTATATCCCGGTTTCGTCACATGAGCGCACTGCTTTTTTTGCCCCAAAAAACTTGAATATTTTCCAAAAAAAACATTTGAGGTACTATTCAATTGTTATTATAATTAGGCCTTTAGATGGACTAAAGATTGGCACCAACATTCATTTCGATCGCCTTTTTTTTTTTTTTCAGGACCAGGAAATGGTCTCCAGGCGGCAAATGCTCCTCCTCTAGGCCGAAATAAGTGCATCTTCCCGGGGTAAGTCGCGACGATTACCGGGGCACGATCACCGGGGACTCCTTTTTCCAGCACACATGTCCGATACCACGTGACAACAAATACGTCATTTCCTGTTGACTAAAAAAAAAAATGCACCCTCTCACGGCCCTAGGGACCGAAAATGGACCCGCCCGATCAGCGGGCGAAGCCACTGCTGCATGCCGGAAATGAGGCTTCATTTCCCGCAGGTCTGTCTAAGCAGCCCGCTGTTTTCCAGCCCGGGGTCAAATGTGGAGCAAGGGCCCCACCCGGTGGACAAATAAAAAAATTACAACTCTAAGGCCCGTACTGCAAAATGAAAATGAAAGTTAAACATCGATGATCCCTTTGACCGTAATTAATTTGCAGTGAAAAATAGCGTTTATAATGGGTTTCAATGAGGCACAAATCGACCACTAAGCCCAATAGTGTAAGTTTGTCTGTAGCTTAGCCACTGAAGCTAATTGAAGGAAGTCAGACTTTTGAAAAAAGCCACAAATCGACCTAAGACCCTCCAGGGGTATCGCATGAATGTGAGAGTGAATGAATAGTGGCATTGTAAAGCGCTTTGGTTGCCTTGAAAAGCGCTATATAAATCCAATCCATTATTATTATTATTATTATTATTGCTGATTCTGCCTGTGGAATCCAGAATCTTTCTCTCAGCCTGGATAATGTGTAATTCCTTCCTCCATTACCGGTTTCTTGGTGAATGTGTCTCAGAATCAAGTAGAAACATGATGGTTTTAAGGAAGGATCACTGGATGCTTAATGTCAGCAGATACTGCAGACTCATGCAACCTACCGCCAACCCTTAAAATTCCATCCTGGACAAAAGGATCCAGCTTCGCAATGTGACTGCTCCTTTTAAGTTTGCCACCTTTATGAAGACTTGCAAGTTCTTCTGCGATTGCATTTGTCTCTAACTATCAGGAACCTTAACATTAATTTTTATAAGTGGAAAAGTGTTAGTGTTCGTCCTCCAGCTTCACTGTTTATGTTATGCTAACATA